AAAGAAGAAAGACTCTTCAGGTTTCCCTTGGTCTGTATCCATGTAGGTAAGACAAAGGACCCCAACATTTTGGAATATGGCAAAACAAGTGGCCATGGAGTGGGAGAGCAGTGGTAGCAACAAGAAGGGCAGACACAGTCCCTGGAAGCTCCCCACACTCAGGAGTGAGGGTGAGAAAGAAGGCAGGTGCTGGGAGTGTGAGTAGATATAATCTGAAAAGTTTCCTCAGGGCATAACCTTGGCAAACACAGGTCACCATGTTCTCCTTTTGAACTATCCTTCTGCCAGAAAAGGTAACTAGATTTGTTTTTTCAAAATATTCCAGGGGGTGAAGGGCAACTGAGTGCACATCTCCACTTTAAAGCAAAAGTTAAGGAAAGTAAAAGAAGGAAAGACCTGGAAGCTCAGAAGTGTCTGTTTGGGAAAAGCAAACACAAGACTGAGATGAAGGACAAAGGACGGAGTAAAAAACAGTCCTCTCCTCCATATATATATATATATATATATATATGTATGTATGTATGTTTTTTTAATTTGGTACTGGGCCTTGCTACACAGCTCAGATTCATGGTAATCCTCCTGTTTTCAGCCTCCCCAGCGCTGGGATTACAGGCATGTACCACCATGCCCAATCTTGGTGGCCAGTGTAGTGTGGGGCCAGCGTGGCATGTGGTACAGGGGATCGAACCCAGGTCCTTGTGCTTGCCAAGAAGGTACTTAGACCACTGAGCTATCTCCCTAGCCCTATTTGTTTTATACATAAAATATGGCCTAGTTCTATCACTGCTGTGTTTCTGCAGTTTATATCTGCCCCACACAGATGAATACTACTCCCTCCACTGTGGTCCCTGGCACAGTCTTGAGTCTGAAAAAGTGCTCACCTATTTCTTCTTTGATGATCCGCTGGGCTATCCGATCAATGGTCCCCAGCTTGAGGGCGAAAGTATCTAAGTATTCACCTATGGCTGCGAACTCCAGAGGCCGGCTCCTCAGCTTGTAGCCTCCGGTGACATGCTTGACAGACTCACCCACTCTGCTCAGCAGCGCCATCCCCTGCTTCCTGTAGGCGTTCAGGTCCTAGGGATGACACACCAACACAGCATTCAGTCACTGGCACAGACAAGAGTAACTGAGCAACTCCTGAGGGCAGCTTCAGTGTAGAAATGGAAGACTGAGAAAACAAGAAGCCAAGTTAGAAGACCAGGTCACCCTCACACCATTGCCCCCACCTTGGCCACCAGATTTGCATGCATGTGCTCACAGAAACATCCCTCTTGATGAAGCTAGACTCCAATCCCTCTAGTCAGGTTCACCCACTTCAGCACTCTGTCCTTCAGACACAACACTGCTTTGAATGTAAGCTTTCAAATCTTTGACAACCCTTTTGATTTTGACACAGGGTTTTGCCAAGCTGCTTAATTGCCAGGCTGGGATTAAGTGGCAATCCTGCCTCTGTCTCCTGAATAGCTTGTGCTACAGGTGTGTCTCATTAGCTAGGGCAATTTCATGATACCTGGCCCAACCATTTATTCAGTTGGCTGGTGAGGGATCAAAACAAGTTCTAAGAGTCCTAAGAAGGATAATTTTGAAAAAGAATATACAAAATTCTATCCTCACCTTAGCAGTAAGGAAAACATTAAAATGTTCATTGAAAGACAGAACAGGATGATCTGTAATTCTTTTTAAGAATTTATCCAAAGCTTTTCTTCTGGTCTCCACAAACTCTTCTGAAAAACGATCCACAACACCTTTCACCACAAACTTCTCAGGAAGTGGCTATGAAAACATGAAGAAAAATTCAGAGTAATTGTTGAGACAGTACAAGGAAAAACTACCAGGCTAGTACATAATTCCTATCACACATCTGTCCAAGAACACCATTTCCTAATCAGTTAGATCTTTACATAATCATCAATATAAAAATGTGTAAAAATACGGATAGAGAAAATCATAACTATTTTCAATTTTATAATGCAGAAAATAAAATAATATGGCATGGTCCCTAAAATAAAAGTTAAGATTTATCCTATAAGTGCAAAATACAGTCAACATTACACTGTTCAATGTACAATGATAGGAAAGAAGGAGGCAGTACCAAGTACACACAAAAAATTATTTGAATGTCCTAAGATTCTACTTCCAATTCAGGGGGTAAAAGATACTGGTGAATAAAAAAACAAGAGGACAAGCCAACTCATTTACCTGAAAACTATCTTTGCCAAGCCAACTTTTTTATTTGAGGCTTACATTCAAAATGTCCTTTAGTGCCCACACTCAAACTTCTCTGTCAGGTGTCAGGATGGCTGCACCAGACTCAAGCTCTGCTTCAAACTTCTCTGTCATACTTCTTTGCACCAACATTGTGGGCAGTTTAAAATGACCCGCCTTACTAAGGGATTTTTGAGTTTACTACTAATATATTTCCCTAGTATCTTGCTCAAATGCTTGACTGAAAGAACAATTTTTAAATGTTTGAGTTTTGAAATCTTGAAAATAAAATTTACATTTAAAAAATGAACAATCTGACTGATATTCTTCCCAAGAATACATTCAAAGGCCAACACACACATGTAAATAGGCTCAATATCTATCATTAATAGAGCAGTATAAATCAAAACCATAAGGAGATACAATTTCATAGTAAGCTAGCCATAATTTTTTAGAAAAAGAAAAGAACTAGGAATGTAGCCCAGTACTAGAGTACTTGTCGAGCATGTACAAGGATCTGGTTCAATCCCTAGAACCACCAAAAGAGAAAAATTTTTAAGAGACAAAACAGAAGAGTTGGTGAAGGTGTGGAGAACTGAAATCCTCAATGCTGTGGGGAATGTAAAATAGTACAGCCACAGTGGAAAAAGTTTGATGGCTCATTAGCAAACTAAATATAGTTACCATAACACCCAGCAGTTCTACTTGTACATACATGCCCAAAAGAACTGAAAGGAGGTATTGAAAAAGTTGTTAACAAGCTGTCATAGCAGCCCTATTCACAATAGCCAAAAGATGAAAACAACCCAAATGTCCATCAACAGGTGATTAGATGAATAAAATATGCTGTATCTATACAATGGGACTTAAAGAGAATGAAGTACTGAAACATGCTACATCATGAAAGAATCCTGAAAACATTGTGGTAAGTGAAAGAATCCAGATACAAAGGCCATATATTATGATTCACTCAGATGAAATGTCAGTAACAGGCAAGACCGTAACATAGAAAATTAATGGTTGCCAGGGACTAGAGAACAGAGGAAATGCAAAGTGACTGTTTTGTGGTTACAAAGTTTCCTTCTGAGTTGGCAAAAATTTTTCCAAAACTTGTCAGTAGGTGATAATGGTTACACCACATTGTGATGTACTTGATGCCAATGAACTGTAGACTTTAACACCACCTAAATAGTATGTTTTATTTTGTTGCCACTGTTACAAAAAAAGTGTATCACAAATCTCTAAATCATAAAGCACAGCAGTAATACTAGCATCCATTAATCCCCTACTCAAGATGACAAACAGAACACCACTGACAAAATTCCCTGATCACATATCTACTTCTTCCTATCCTCTCCAAGAGAATCACAATTCTAAACCATTTGTTCACTGTCCCTATATTTTATAGCTTGTTTTAGTTTTTGAGCTTCAAAAAAAAAAATAGAGCTACATTTTGGTTTTGTTACTGAACACTATCATTCTGGGACAGATTTCTATTGATGCATGCTAAGCTATAAAAAAAAATCATTTTTCAGTTCTGTCGTTTTACATATATACCTAAATGTGTCATGAACTGTTCATCTTCTTTCCTGAGCAATCACATGTGAATGCTTCACAGACATCTGAGACCATTAACAATGCTGATGTGAACACTTGCAGGTGTACAAGTCTCTATAGGGAACAAAGCAGGCCAAGAATGGCCAACCCAAAGTATGTGCTTTCTTAGTTCTATAAAGACAATTGTATGCTTTTTTCTTGAATATGTTCATTGGTAAGATAATATATTTTTTCTGATGTTTGTTTGTTTGGGTTTTTGTTTGTTTTTTTGTTTTGGTTTTTTTTTTTTTTCGGAACTGGGGATTTTTATTGATGTTAAACGAACCTAGCAGTTCAAGTTCAGAATGGTAGAAGATTAAACATACACATTTAAATTAAAAATCCTCAACTCCATAAAATGACAACAATGAGGGTTTTTTTTTTTTTCCCTTTTGAGCTATAAACCCTCAAGGACAAAAGAGGCAAAAAAAAAAAAAAAAGAAAGAAAAGAAAAAGAAAAAGAAAAAAGAAATGAAATGAAATGAAACAAAATAAAATAAGATACAGAAACAAGGACTGGTGTACTTGCAATATAAACAAGTGGAATACTAAGGCACCTTGTCTGGGAACCCAGGTATGAAACACAAAACTTAAAAGCTTTAGGGAGTTGGTAACACCAGCACTCCTGGATATGAAGAACTTGAAATACAAAGGAATTCAACAGCCTCAACCTGAAAGAGCTTAAGAAATTAAGAAAGTCTGGATGTCTCAGTTCTCAAGTATAAGGACTCTGGTGCCATGCTTCCTGGTTCATTTCTTATTTCTGTCATCTAGTAGCTGTTTGCATTTGGTCAAGACCTGTAATTTCTTGGTATTTCAGTTTCTCCATGAGACTGGATATGGTAAGAGTGTGTCTGTAATCTCAGTTCTTGGGAGGCTGTAAACAGGCGGATCACTACGAGTCCAATCTAGTAGTAAGACCCTGAACACCCTGTAGACCCTTCACTAAAATACAAATAATAATAATAATAATAATAAATAAAAAATGATAGGGTTTCTCAGTTTCTCCATGGTAAAACCAATATAAAAAGTAACCATGGTGCCCACCTCAGCAAGTTTTGTTATGAGGATTAGATTAGCTAAGATACCGAAAGAGCTTTGATTCCTACTACCAAGGAACACTCTAAAAGTCTGGGTGCTGCAGCAGGAACAGCAGTTCAGGGGACTCAATCTCCAGGGACATCTGTTGTTCACTAAAACTTTGAGATCATGGGAGTATTCCAAGAAGAAGCTAAGAACACTGGGGGGATTTCTTTATAATAGAGCAGGTGCGTTCTAAAGAGCACAGTGGGAAGGTTTTCAAATGAAAGGAAGGACAATAGAGTCTGGAATAGGATGACAGAGCCCCACAGGGATACATGTCCAGGTCTGACACCCATGGAGCTCACACTGGGGTAGAACACTAAAAGTGTAGTACTCAGCCAGATGTTCTGGCCCAAGTGGAGGAGCTGGCTCAGCAGAGTGTGGTCATCCATCAGGATAACTACTTTATTCTGGTCAGTTCTCCCATTCCTTTAGACACCCATTCTCATCCTCAACTTATCACAGTAAGCAGATTGCTATTTCTCTGAAAGGAGCCATATGAAGGATCATGAGTGGTGATTTTTCTAAGCATTTCACTTCCTCCAAAGAACCCATCTATTGAGAACCACTCTCACCTCCACTCCTCAGGACTGCATGAATCCTTTCCCCACCATTAACATGTATTTCATCCGTGTCCTTGACCCATCGAGGTGTACCTGTTGGCACCAATTAACTGAACCTTCTCTTCCCTGTGTTCAATATCCCCTGCTCACCCACCTTTACTCTTCGAGTCTACCAAAATACGGTTGGTTCACTATCTGGGGAAAAAAAAAATCCAATCACCCTGTCCTTACGTCTCTCCAGTGTTCTTTCATCTCATTCAATCTTTGCACAAAAGCCACCTGACTTCCATTTTTTCCACTGATCTCTCAACCAATAACTGCCCCCATTCCAAAATAAAATAATTTGGGTTTTAGCACTACCTTTAAGGCAGTGTTGTCTGCCCAATTCCCACCTAATGCAGGAATTGCTCCGTGAGATGATTACCAGTGACACTGTAATTACCAAACCCAGCGGCTATTTTTCTGCTCTTACGTCACGAGTCTGCTGGGCAAATTCACATTTGCTTTTGCTAAATAGAGCTTGGGAAGAAATCTGACCAAGAAGTGGTTAGGTGTGCCTTGTCTAACAAAACACATAACCTCCCCAAAGAGCTGTCTACCCTTCAGATTTAGCAGATGGAATGTGCTGTGCAAAGGAACCTTAAGGCGAATCCTTCTCCAAACAGAATTTACTTACATAATAAGCATTATTATTCCCAAATGTGCATGGCATTGAAAATTTGTTTCTTACTTTTTAAAAAATGCTTTTTTTAATGGGATATGGCTACTGAGTTTGGGTTGTTGGTGAAATCAAAGGCATCTATAGTGAGATCTTGTTCTGAAGAGCTCAACACAATTCCAAGCACATGGTAGATGCTAATATGCTAGGCATTTTTATTTGTAAATATTGAGAACAAAAGGCAAAAAAGGAAGTGGACTAGGGGGTAGAACTTCCATATATCTTATAGTCAAAAAGACCTTTTAAGTCAACTGGCCCACCACTTTACACTTACAAGGATGATTATTAAAACATAGAAAATAAGCATTGGAAAATATGCAAAAAAAAAAAAAATCCACTTCTCCACACACTGGTGGTAGTAATATAAAATAGTATAACAGGGGCCAGGGAGATAACTCTAACATTAAGTACCTGCCTGTCAAGTGAAGGTCCTGAGTTCAATCCCCAGTACTGCAAAAAATAAATTAATTAAAATAAAATAGTACAACCACTGTGGAAAACAGTCAGGCAATTCCTAAACGAGTTAAACACAGAATTACCTATGAACTAGCAATTCCATTTCTAGGTGTGAGAAAAGGCAGAGACAAAGTCTCCCCCATGGACTTCAG